AAAGAAATTCCCCCGCCCCGAGCGTCTTAATCTGGCAGAAACCTCATTATACATCATCACCGAGTGCAACAGCTCTGAAAATTAACATCTGCACAGGGTAAAAGCCAGCCAGCGTGCCTAATCCTTGAGAGGCTAATAAAAGAATAAATCTTCAATATGTAAAAAACATCCAAAGACAACGGTAAGAAGAACTGTTCTTAAAGATTCTTGTTAATTGGGAAAAGAAAATATGACCTTTACAGAGGAGCTTGTATTTATGACTGAATGGAAGGTAAAGATATCAAAGCGAGACACGCACAAGATGGGAAAAGGTCCATGAATGCCATGAAGAGTTGACTCACCAAACAGATACCCAAGTTAACCAGCATCAGGAGAGATGGCACATGCAAAAGCCGTGAAAATATACCAGACAAACTTGCAAACTGTGGCATCACGTTGACAGTTGGACTTGATGATCTTAGAGGTCTTTTCCAACCTTAATGATTCTATGATCACTTCAGAAGTCAGCACATTTTTGAAAAAAAAAAAAAAAAAAGAGGAAAAAGAGAAACACTATTGCAAATTGCCTACCGCCTGTCCTGGCCAGTCACACTGAATCACTGCAAGCCATCAGTGTTTCATAGGCAAGTTTACAGCCCAGAAAAAACACGAACAAAATATAACCATGCTGCATGAGGGCAAACGTGCATAGATGTGAGGTCAGAAGGTGTCAGGTGAGCTCAGTGGAATGCAAACAAGATCAGTATGACAATTGCAGGCCAGCCAGGAGAAACTAGAGCTGCAAGGGGAACTACTTTAAAAGGACTAGGAATAATGGGTTACCCTTCTTTCTGTGCCCAACCAAGCAAGCCACACCATAAAGTATCAGAAGACCAAGATAACTTTAGAGAGCTGAGAAGAGGAAGAACAATGCACACCAAGACAGTGCTGTAAGACAAAAATCACGGAGTCATTAGACAATCATTGAGTTCACCGATTTTTTAAAAAATAATAAGTTACTGCTGTAGATCACAGAGCTAGAGAACAGAGCAGTAGTTCTTCCAAAGAAATATGTTAACATCAGAGTTTATCACAGATAACCTAAACACAATGCACAATTTAACAGCAAGTTACAAAAGTGCATCTTGCTATTTGGCTTTTGGAAGGGATGTGATTATTAAAAAAACCCCAAACAAACCCGAACTTTAATCTCCCTATTTTTTCAGTATGATATGCACTCACAATAGATGTGTCTTCACATTTTCACAGCTTCTTATCTAATGGAAGTATCCTACTTCACCTAGAGCAGGTACCCTGATTTCACAGCTGTTTTTTTTGGTTTTGTTTTTGGTTTTTTTAAAATTTTTTTAAATTACTTTTAAAATTACTAGTCTTGTCAATAACAAAGACCATTCTTTCTCTTTTCTGTGACAATAGAATTATAACTAGGTGGGGACACTAACTGCTCCCATTTAGTAGCAAGAATCAGCTACTAATTTCTAGGATCCAGCATAAAAGGCTTATGAATATAAATTCTCTCATCCATATACTCCTCTTGGTCTTCATCATATTACCAGTTTTGAAGTTTCTGTATTCTTCTAAAAGCATGCTTGAGTTTGCATTGGAACAACTCCACCTATCTTTAGTTGCTTCGCAGCATCTAAAAAGGCTTAGAATCCACTCTGTGTAACAAACGTTTATTCAGAAACAGATAATACATTATCTTCTCCAACCCCTAATGTTTCCTCCCCCTCCCCGTTTTGTTTTTTTTTTTTCTTTTTAATAAAACAGGTGTCTGATGAGCAATCTAAAAAAGGAGAACAATAGTCATCTTAGGTCCCCTCCCCTACAAACATCTGTTGTTCACATGAAGCACTCAACCAATAATGGTGCTGTTGGCTTCCAAACTAAAGAGAGTACTCCAGAAAAACAAGTCTTGCCAAGTCCTCAGTTATTTCCATGGCTAAAAGGGATACAGTGAGATAGAGGAAATGGTTTGCACCAGCTAGATAGAGCAAAGAGTTAATACAGAACAAGGAAGCAAACGAAACATAGGGTTGACCAAGAAATGGAATCTGGACCTACGACAGTTACAGAGAGTTCATTAAAGTTCAGCAGAGCTGAACAGAATGGATTAGGTTAGTCTCCCAGCTAGAAGGATCAAATTCAAACCCCAACCAGATTCTGGAAGCAGCTCATAGCTTTCCTCTCTTATAACACAATTTGAACAAATACAAACAAATGGAGCTACTGTGACTTCAAATACCCATGGCAATAACACTGCACTACCAAAGGAAGTGTTGGAAGGGCCACCTAGTGGCCTGTGGCTCATCACAGATGCTCACTGGCCAAGTCACATCCTTGCTGCTCTGCATGGGATTTGCTTAATGCTCCTCTCCTGTGCTCCTTACAGAGTGCTAACTGCTCTCCTCTCCAAAACCTCTCCCCAAAGCCATGAAGTGCAGCAATCATCCTCCAAATCCATGCACGCGAGCAGCACACCCACACAACAGCAAAATGTTGCCCAAATTATATCTCTCAAAGAAGTGAGTTCTCAGGTGCAAGAAGAGACTGCTTCCTGTGTATTAGTATCTGAAAAAGGCCCCAGCTTCTTCCTTTTTAAAGGAGACTAGGTAAGTCAGAAGGTAAGAAAAAAAAAATAATGACCCTGCATCAGCAGAAGGATGCAATACAGTCTGATGGGAGTGAAACACTTGGATTTCCTCTAGCTCTGAACACAAGACTGGTTCAGTCCAGAAAAAAAAGAGCAACCGAGCCTGACCCTACAGGGCTAACAGATTCATTGTACAAATGCCAGAGCCCTTCCCTCCCCCACCTCTCTGCATTACCGGAGTTGAAGCATCCTTCCCACAGCACAACGGGAGGTGCACTTGTGCATATGTTCTTCCTGCCTGATGCCTCCATCAGCTGGTATACACAGCGGGAAGCTCAGTTTTTCACACTTCTCAATGTCACAGCTGCTCAGCAGAAAAATATCCAACAGCCAGAATGAAGTAGTATGCTACCAAATGCATACAAGGCAAAGATGCAAGATGGTGCTTCCTGTACGGAGCCACACCTGACTTTGTACCCAGCGCAGCAATTTCAGAAACAATGTGGTATTCTTGCCTGCTGATAATCAAGGGGATGCACCTTTTAGTTAAAAGTTAGTCAGAAGAAAAGAGAAGGAGATCACCACTCCTTCCCCTCAAAGTCTATGTGCACTTTTAATGGTCACTAGGGTCTTTGGAGTAAAGGAGGGAGTTACATGGTATATGCTTGGTAACACATTACTGGCAGAAGGGGGAAGTTATTCTTTTAGGAAAAAGATCATGGAAGAAAACTCCAACTATGAAAACAGAAAGTACACACACAAGAGGAAACACTATTGTACAGTATGGTAGCGATCATAGAAAACAAAAAAAATCAAGGCAGGTAAATGCAAACAACATCTGCACTCCTGCACCTTTCTCATTCCCCAACTTAAGTTTTCCAGTCCACTGCTCATCCCCCCTTCTCAGAGTTTAATTTTGAATTCTGTGGGCTGCACAGAGGCAGAGACCCCTGAGGATTTGAAGAGTGCCTTCAAGATAGTGTCAGGGTCCACCTCAGCTGGGGGGTTTGAGGAGGCGCTTGCACTTGACCGACGTGGCTCCCCTTCCTTCTTCACTGAAGGTGTATCACTCAATCGGCTGCAGGATTAAAAAAGCAGTATTTAACCTTTCATTATGAAATAAAATTTAACACTATGTCTGCATTAACTGTTCCTGATGTTGTCCTCTGCCCATTAGAGATAAAGGTTTTAAATATGTTTTCCTCACAAGGAAACTTCCTCATCTCAGACTTGTTTTGAACCTCAGGGCTGGGAACACTATGGAGTCAAGCTATACTGCACTCAGCTCAACACAGAGCACCACAGAGTGAAAGAGAAGGAGAATATTCATGGGACAATAACTTGCCAGTTTTCCTCCCCTCAGGTTCTCCTGAAAACAGGACCTGCAAATGTGTTTGGTTCTTCCCCCACCCAAAGGATACTTACAGCAATATAGGCTGGTCTGAGGTGATGACATTCCCATTCATATGAAGATTGCATTTCATTGGTTGACCTAAACAAAAACACAATTTTAAAAAGTCCTTTTATCAGAATCGTGGTTAAGGCAAGGTCCTAAAAATATCACACATCAGTGCAAGCAATAGACTTCAGAAAGAACAGTTGATAGATCTTTGTTGCAAAATCGTAGCAACAGAAGAACCACCGAAACACTTGGTACAATACAAAGTACAAATTAACAATTACATTGTTCAAAGTTTATGGAGAAGCTGATACTAACTGTTGTACAGGTCTGATTCAAAATGCCTCTGACTATGCCTTCAGACTTTTGCAAATATTAGTTTTACCTGTACTTTGCAAACAGCTATTCTGTATGGAGATAAAGCCTTTCTAAGGACCATCTAGCTCTTGGCGCTGGATTAGAAACAAAAGAAATTTAATCTGGAAGTTAGACCAGTGGAATCACCTGGACCCAGCCTCTTGCTTTGGCCATTCTCTTTCTAGGAAAACTTTTTCTTTTTTTAAAACTTCACTTAAATAAACTGTGCATATATTCAGCTAGCTACATAGGAGCGTGTTACATTGTCTAACACTTGAACTGATTTTCTGGCATTTTCTCTCTTGGTAGCACACGAATATCTGAGATGCTTCCAAACTCTCTGCTGAGGTGGAAAAGTCTTTGTTGATTTATCTATCCTAAATGCAACTCTGACCTCAAACTTACCATCTAAGCACCTGTTGTTGTATTTCTTATACGCTGTGATAGCATCTTCTTTCTTCACAAACACTACCTCAGCCACCCCAGGGTGCACCAGCCGGGCTCGCTTCAGAGCGCCGCACACACAGAATAACTCCTGAGGGCAGAGAGTTAGTCATGACCATGGTCACATCAAAGGCACCACTTCAACCAACAACACCGAGTGAGAAAGCCTTAGTTTCCTAATTGCACCACCCATCCCGCTCAGTAAACACACGAGTGTTTGTTCCTGCCACTTGTCTTTGTGTTTCATATGTTACGAGTACTTGGCATTTGTAATACAGGTTGCACAAAGCTCCGTGGTGCTACCGAAACGAGCAGAAACGTCCAAGGCCAGTACTCTATACCCTTTGTCACACATCAAGACCAGGCTCTTTCTCAGCCTGCTGAGAATGGAAGCACCCAGGTAATTTAGATGGGGGCTTAAGTTCTAGGGGAACACCAAGCACCATTAGCATGAACTCAGTTCTAAGTGATGTCAGGTACTTCAGTTCACCCTAGAAGCGGGATTTTGTCCCATCTTAAGCATACACTTTTTTTTAAAAAAGTTATTAAAAAAAATCAAGAACTCTCAAAGTTTTTGCAAGGAAAGCAAACCCATGTCATACCTCTCTTCATTGCATTCACCATAGATCAAGTGATTTACCAAAAGAGGTAGGATAAGGGAAGGAAGCTTCACTCATCCACACTAAGCAACACTCACAACAATGTCTTCCTCTGTGACTCGAGGATGCAGATTGTTTACAGTCATCTTTGTGCCTTCCAAAGGACTGAACGCCAGCTGCCAACACAAACAAATGCATCACATAAAGGTCAGAAATGCAGCAGGCAAGACAGCACAGCAGAGAAAGCATTAAAAAAGTCACTAAAGGGCTGTCTGGGAAAGTCTGTACACACACACAAAGGAAAGAGCTACAGCTAGTAACAGGAAGTAGTGAGCCCAGTTTACTACTGGGCTTGCAAAAGCCCAGCTCATCTGATGTTGAAAAGGAGCCCCTTTTCCATGCTAATTTCTCTCTGACATAACTTTTATCTTTCATTCACGAGTAGGACACTAACTTAATCCACGTACATACACAGTACTATCTGGTCATGCCCACACTTTTATCTGCATGTCTCCTGCTGCACTCAGAATCAGCCAGCAAACCCCAAAATATGGCTCCAATCCCTCAAGAGCACTCTGAACTCAACGTGCCTGGGAACACCTGGTGGATTACCTGTACCCATCATCAGGCAGTTTGGCAAAACAATTTCAGGCAGGTTGTCTACAGACTGCCCAAGAGGTCTTGTGTGGACAGCAAGAAGCTGGAATTGGAAGAATCCTGCTCCTCTCCTTGCTAACAGGAGCAGACAGAAGACAACATTACTAGTAGTGTTAAAACTCTATTCTTATGGACGTGGAAGCCATCAAGGACAACTGCCACCTCCCTGTAGAGGATTCCTCCAGGATCACATGCTCCCACGCTATATAGAAAAGCTGAGAGAAGCATGATGCACTATCTGAGAATGTCCAGTCTCTCCATAAACGCCGAAAAGGATGTTCAGACAAGTTTTAAATTCTTGGGACATGAGTTGCAGTTACCAGAATTAGCTTGATGGAGTCCCAGAAATAATGGTGGAAGGAAGACAGAAATGAGCTGCTTGCATAAATGATGAACAGCAACTTTCAGATGTTTCAGAGACTTCTATAAAGAGCATCTCCCACTTCCCTGGGCTCACCTCAACAGGTGCCGGTTCTTTTGGAGGCTCCTCCTTAGTCACTAAAGTCCGGGACATGTTTGTCAAGGCCTTTGTCCGCATAGGAGAGGGAGGTGCAGGTGGAGCTGTGTATGTATCATTCTGGACCACTTTAGTCAGGGGGACAGTCTTGGACAGAGAGAATTTATTGCCACTCAGCCCAGTCTATAGGAAGAAAGAATAAAGTAACTCAGAGCTGCAGTCATCCCTCTTTTTCAAGCACCAACAGCAGGAGAATATTACTAGCATGCACTAATAACCGCGTGTCCTTCCCAGTGTCAGAACCGCCACGGTGCTGGAGACTTTCAGCCTCGAGACAAAAATCAACTGAAGTTTCTGGGTACATGTTCAGACCAAAAGAGCACTTTGCTCACTAATGAGCACTTTTTAGTTTCATATTCTTCTTAGAAGAACTTTATCAGTGCGATTTGAATTTGAAATCTTTTATCCAAAGATTTTCAAGTACTTTACAGAGTGTTCACAAAGATAACTCATTAACAATAAGATCAAGCTTCCCTAGTACAAACAACAGTACTTCTTCAGAAACACCAAGGTAGGGCACACAAAGACATGGAGCATAACCCTTCTAGTTGGAACTACCCGAGTTTAAAGTCAGACTAAAAATTGTGCTTGGTAGCTGCTGTGAACACTGGATAGAACACATTTACTCCTTGGAAAAAAAAAAAATCCACTAGGCTGCTTTCAAGGATCACAAATGGACAGGAATTCTGTTCTGAATAACCCACATGAGAAAAAAAACATAGGATAACCACTGCACTAGACTTCTTGCGTGATGGTAAACCAAATTAAACTTGCTTTCTCAGAACCACAGAATAATTTAGGGCAAACCTACATCCAGTCTCCATGTCTGAAACAGAGCTAACTTCAAAGACATCAGGCTGGCTCAGGGCCTTATCCAGTTAAGACAATTTTACAAGGCAATTTTACAACCTCTCTGGGTCCCTGTGTCAGAAAGGCTAACCAATATCCTGGGAATTGCACAACTCCTCCCCTCCAAATCCAACCAGAATTTCTTTTGCTGCAACACATTTGTTGGTTCATCTCCCTGTACACTCCTGAAAAGGACCTAGGTTTTGCTTTTTCTATGGCCATGTATTAGGCAGTGCGAGTGGGCAGATCTCACTACAGCCTTCTCAGTCTTAAGAGATGCCCCTCTTGCACTCTCTCCTCACACATCATACACTGCAGCCTTCTAACCATCCTGCTGCACTAGTTCCAGTCTGTCAGTGCCTTTCTTGTATCGCAGAGCCCTGAAACAGACACAGTATTCCAGGTGCGTTCTCCAAATGCCAAACACATCAGAATAATTCCTTCCTTGATTTGCTGGCTATGATCTCACTAACATACAATGTCCAGTACATCTTCACTGCTGCAAGATGAACTGCTAATTTATTCTTACCGTATCACCAGCAGGACCCTCAAGCTCTTTCCTACAAAACCACTTTCTAGCCAATCAGTTCTCAGGTTAAGTTGGAGAGGGTTATCCCATCCCAAGAGCAGGACCTCACATTTGTCTGTGTTGAAATTCCATCTTCTCCAGAGCATCAGTACTACCCAACAAGCTGCAAACTAACATTCTGCATGGCAAAAGATTTCATGCTTTGATGTCCAGTCTCTAGAAGCAGCAGAAAGCTTCCCTTGCTTGCCTGTTCAAACAGTAATGAGACAGGTTCAAAGCACTTCCCCAACAAGAAGAAAGTCAAGAGCTCATATGCAGCAACCTGCCAGCAAGGCAGAAAGCACATGTTCTGGCTGCAAAAGGTCTATAAAACCACAGTTAGCCTAAAAGGGACCCTGTCCCAAAAATAACACTAGAAGCATTGGAACAAAGGGAATGGTGGGGTGAAGAGCAAACATTTCAGGAGAAAGCATCGTTTACATACTTTAAAAGAATGTAAGCCCTGTAAAGCCGCAGCCTGTGTGTCCACCCAATGTCAGCATGGCATGGTGGGGACTGTTCAGATAATCCCTTACCGCACTGTGCAGGAAACTGTTTGCCGTGGTCATTTTCATCTGTTTGCTTGTAAGGGGAGAGACACTTTCATCATCATCTTCCATGTCATACAGACCCTGAAGAGAAGCAAGGTAATAGTTTACAAGCAGGTAGATCTAATCTAGACATAATTTCCAAAATAAGTAGTCTTTCCCTGCCTTCAGCCTCTTCAGGTAATGAACATGACTACACTGGACTTTACTCCTGTCCTTGCAGCTTGGGGATATAGAGTGGAAGTTCAAGAATGCAAGTTCATTTCAAAACACCAGTGTAAAAACTATCCAGCTTCTTTTCCAGAAACTCCACAGTAAAGTTATTTCCCTCTGTGGATTCCCTAGACCTCATCAGGACTGATAAAACCACATTAATAGAATAAAGCCTCAGTGTCTTACCTTTTAGCACCCCGTTACCTTTAAGGTTGAAGCTTGGGCATACAGGGTTTTTTTTGTTGTTTGGTTTGGGTTTTTTTTTTTGCCAGCAGATGCCTGGAAAGTACATCTGAACCAAACGTTCCTTTTGAACAGCCTGCTTTCCTCAGCACAGCACACATCCGCCTGGCACTAGAAAACACTGCACTAGGAGGTTGGCTGAATGAATAATTAATTTCCCAGCTCAATTTAATGCTCATAGCCCTACCTTAAAATACTGAGGCTAATGCAAATATTTTTTAATGAACTCTAAATAATGTTAAGAAAAAGACTATAAACATACATCACTGCCCAGAAAATAAGAAGTCATAACTCAAAACAGCTTCCCACTAATTCAGTAGAAAGGTGAAGAAAAAAATCAAGGGATTAGCAATGAGAGCTTGCAGAGTCAGTAGGTTATCATAGTCAGTGGGTTGTCACAGTCAGCAAGATTCTGGTTTACAAACAGGAAAGTTGTTCCAGTCATAGAAATACTATGAAGGAAAAAAAAAATACCAAAAAGGGATGGTAGAACAAAAGAGAATTGTGCAGAAAAGAACTCGGAAAAGTGCTAGCCATCAGGACAACAGAGTTGGGTTTGAGACAAAATGAAATGGATTCGAGGCTTATAGTGATGAGGTCAGAATAAAGATGACACTTGTTAAGTGACAGCATCTGGGATATGTGAGGGCAGCACATCAACGTAGAGGTAACAAACACAAATAGTTAAAGTTACCATAACTGAGGCAAAAAACCCAAACCAAACCAGGATATGGTATCGTGAACACCAAGTTTTCTAATATTTCATATAATACTTTAGGTACACACACAAAAATGTAATGAAAACATGTAATTTCTCTCTGAAAGCACTCAAGGTGGTTGAACGGCTGAGGGCTGTGACAAAGGCCTTCAAAACTGATGTCGGAAGAGACAGCACAAATTCCAGGGTTTTCCTCAGAAAAAGTCTGATTGATAAGGGATATGGCCACTCTGATAGTACATCTGAGTATCAGTCAACATCATTCACTCTCAGGTTTCCAGAAAGGACCCAGAGCTGGGATTTCACAGGAAGGTTATACCCTCTTCCACCTCACTGTAGAGCATTTGACCATGTACAATCCTACCCATACTCTGAAGAGGCTGGCAGGATGGTGAATCAAAACAACTAACAACTTGATCCGATGTGGTGTCACTGAGAAATTTACAGAAAGACATCAGAGCTAAAGGTCACAGCCTCTAGAAAAAAAACCCAATAGTGCATACAGACAAAAACTGGGAATAACTACCTCGCGTTCCTCCAACACACAAGGAATCAAGATCAATTAGACTAAATGGAAACCTCAACTACCACGAAAGTACCTTCACTGCATGAGAGTAGGGAGCTAAGCTGTCAGAGAACCTCAAAACACTCCTCTTTTCTACTTAGAGTGTTCTTTGCACCTGCCAATGTTTACATCTTCCTTAGCCACCCAAGGTAACAAACAAAGAGCACAGAGCAGGCACATACCTGTTTGTGTGTATGGTTGTTCACCACGTTAATCCTCATTCCTGCGGGATGAGAGTGTCCAGGAACTGGAGCTTTCTGCTACAGGTAGAGGGAAAGAACCAAAGCATTAAATCACTACAGTCCACTAGATTCTCATTTCAGAAGATTGGAGCTGTTAGCTGATACTCTGAGACCACTTAAATGAACCTCACTCTCCTGCTCTTGAAACATATTACCACAATATGCCATTAGATAACGTCCATGTTTCCTGTAGTACGTTCAATAGGAGATACCTTCACTTAACTGAAGAAATTAAAGCTTAAGGTCACGCAGAGAAACTGATACAAATTACCTGAGTTTTAGTTCAGGATTAGTGGGAAGGGGACTTAATGCCAGCCCTGCTAGCACTGACTAGATCTACATTTCTGCCAACACAAAACCAAGAATGGGGTAAATCAGTAAGTAACCTCCTCTTCTTTCTTGTTACAGCGAAGCAAAGACAGCTAGTTCCATCAAACTCAACAAGTTGGGACACACGACAATTTAGTTCTGTTCATTTCAAAGGAGAAGTATATACTGTCCTTTCACACTAGGGCTGGAATAAGCTGCAGAGGAATAAAATGATGCAGGGGATGGTGTAGCTGACCCTTCTGTAGCCTGTTATCCTGTGAAACAGGGAAACCACAATGGAAGTAGTAAGGGAATGTAGCTGTGCTAATCAGCAACTGAAATCAAGCAGCGACTCCCTCAAAAATGCCTTTTTGGTTTTGGAAAAAGCTGGAAGCTGTGCATTATAGAAAAGAATGGGTCTTCTGACAAAAATACTCCATACAGGCAGCAAAGTCTTCAGATCTGCATTTTCTCTAGACTGTAATTTACACCACAGCACCCTCATGTTTCAATTTACTAATCCATTCGGAAACAAGGGTACTTGCCCTACAGAAACACCAGCAGAGCTATGGAAAAATCTTTGGGTTTCAAAGACTTTTTTCCTTCTTTTATGAGAAAAAAGACCACAGTATAGGACATTAGAGCTGTGTGCTGCATCTCAGATTAAGATACTTTAGCTTGATTCTGCCCCAACATTTGGGAATAGAGGAAGGCCATGGGCAGTTTGGAATTTTGGTATAAATCACTAAAAAATAACTAGATAATTGCTAATGTGCATGGTTTTGTCTACAGTCTTAATTACCATTATATTCTACAATATTCTTTCTTGCAATATGTTGTCTAAGAAACAAAGTCCTGTAGGTCAAACCAAGTCATGCAATAAAAAAAGGAGGTCAGAGCAAACTGCTGCTATACCAAGCCTCTGGAAATTATTTTAACTCCTAGAAACTTTGTAGAAAGTGTTCAGCTCCTAATGACTGGTGATGGTGATCTGTCTTCGAAGGACAGCACGAGTATTAATTACCCTACTAATTAAAGACTACTGAACAGACTGCTCTATTGCTCTCTGATTAGCCCTTCTTACCGCCACAAGAGTCCTTTCTCTTTTAGGTCAGCCTGGCAGTAAATTTGGAGAGTAATGGGAGATTTCCCAGGCTAATTTACAGAAGAAATATGCTTGATGCTCTTGAGCAACACCCACAGCTGAGCAGAAAGCAGACTCATCCAGGCTTTCAAACGGATGAGAATAGGAAATTTTCTGGGTATGTGCAAGCACACTGTTGACCTTTGGGAGGAGGAAAATTAAAGCAGTAGGCTAGGAGCTTCAGTTAAGTGCTTGTAGAGGTGAGGAACAAAACCACTCCTCAAACAACAACCCTGACAGTCTAGAAAATTCTCTTCTGACTCTACCCACTGTACCTAACACATACACAGCATAACAGTAGTTGTTTCTTAGAGAAGTTTGCTAAGAATCAAGTTACTGCACAGACAGCAAAGTGAAATTAGAAAACTGTGAAAGGAAATCAGCAGGCTAGGGAGATCAACTGATTATACTGCAACTGAAATAAACCTTCAGCCTCAGCAGAAATGTATCATATCATCAGGCAACTTCAAGCTTTCCTGAAAACCAGACAAGTAGAAATAGAGAAACTGTAGAAGGGCTCATTTAATTTTAGATCTCCCAAGATACAAACATAACCATATATTCTAAACTGTTATCCCACCACTAGGATAAACCAGTAATCTAGACAGGACAATCCACCACGTCAGATTTGCAAAGAGGGGTGATATAAGAATGACCAAAAAATGCATACATTTTATTTGTATTTAGGTGGGAAAGAGACTACTTAACCATTCAAGACAGCTACTTTAATGCTGGCAGGAGCGCTGTTTTAGTCTTTATCAGGCCCAAAATGCAAACCAAAATTTAAATGAAAGCTGGGATTCTACAAAAAGCCCCAAGCAGCTGGACGGACACCCAAAAGGCTCTGAATCCTGCCCTGAGTCGGAATTCAGGACTGAGCTGTATCACACCACTTCTACTGTAAACATGTGAACATATTCCTGTAAGTGCCATTTCCCCTGGACTGCTGCAGAATAACTCAGGGGCTCAGAGGCAGCTTGCTTGACCTACTTGGATAGTTTTGGTGATTTTCATGGCTGGATTTACTGTCCCCATAGTTGGGCTGATAGCAGCTGGAGTGCTCCTTTTTAAGCTGATCTTCTCTCTGGCATCCACCACTTTGGTCACCTTTTCAGCAGCAACACTTTGCTGTTTACGGGAATTCAACATCTCTCGAGCATCCTGCACCTTCCCTTTGATTTTGAACCGAGCGTCCTTTTGAACCAGTTTTTCACGGGCATCTTTAACCCCCAGTTTGTGTCGGGCATCAGTGAGCCCTATCCTCTGCCGGGCATCGAATGTCCGCTGGAAACTGACAGCTGGTGATGATCTGTTCAGAAGATTTTGCTGGATTCCAATGCGAGATCTTACACCTCCAAACACTGGCCTTGTGTTAAGCCTGGGGGGAGGAAAAAAAGAAAAAGAAAAAAAAAAAAAGGAAAAAAGGAGTTTTGGCCATTGTAAGATGTGATACAGTATTCATACAGGTATTTGTGTTGATGGAAACAAAAGCTCATTATTACTGCACAGAAATCCACTCAGGTTAGACAGATGTCCAAACACAACAGTAGAGCTTCTAGGCCATTTTATGCTAGATTCTACTTCCTACATAAACAGCTAAGGAATTGATTTCCAAAATCCATCCTTAAGCTCACATTTATAAACTTAAGGGTTTGACTTCAGCTGTGCTAAGTACATACTACATTTAAACACAATTCATCAACAACTCGGGTACTTTGGGGAAGCCTTTGAAGACAAAGAGGAACAGAAACAGACTTCCTAGCTTTAGGACTGATTGGGTCTGATAAGGCATCTTTTGTAATACAATAATATGATCTGATACAAAGGAAACATGGAACTACACAGGATTTCAAGAATTCCTGACAGCAAGGTTTGGATTTTAGGAGGTACAACCACCAGAACCAATCTTGGTTCAAAGCCACCAGTTTCAAAGTTGTTAAGTGCCACCAAGAATACTTATCAGTCAAATTGCTTTTTAACATCACTGCTTCTACTTTAATCTACCAACAGAACTGCTGCGCTCAATGGCCTTCACTTTGTAAGCACATCAGCATCACAGCACTGAACACAGAAAGATAACAGCCCACAGAAAGGACAGCATTAATACTTGTACACAAGTCCTACTAAGCAACAGCCCATTATGTAGTGAAAGCTGAAACCAGCCTCTTGCTACAGGTCGGATTTACATTTTCAAAACCTCCCCTAAAAAGAAAGAGTTTGTTTAATTTTTTAATTCAGTTGCTCCTTTAAGTATTTTAAAGGCTTTTTTTTTTCCTTTAAGAAAAAAGATGACAAAGTGGCAAGAGAGATTTTAACATTAAGGTACTGAAAAAAAATATTCTTGCTGTTGTCTTTTTAAAATTCAAAAGAATTTATGAAGGGCCACAGTGTTAATCTGCTTTCTAAAATGTATAGTCCAGTATTATGAAGTCTAAAAGCAGATATCTGGAATTGTAGTACTGAAAAGGCTAACATTACAAATTCCAATGCTGATGCAATTTGAATTCTTCACACAGCTTTTTATCAGTTTTTCCTGATCCAACCCTACAATCTTACATTTAATCGTGTATTTTCAGTGGTGAGATCTGTAAAAAGAGATATGAAGGACTAGGCCTGCACTTCTGTCTCTTTCATTCTTGTGTCCAGACAACTGGAGAGCCAGGACTGGGGTCCCACTGTGTTACCTAGCTAAGAATCCTCTGGCTCCCCTCTCATACAGAGAAAGCACACTACGTAGAAGAAACAAGAGTATTGTTAAGATAATTTATTAAAATATATCCAGACTAATAGAAAGACTAACAGTACCCACAAAGGAACAGCCACAGAACTAGACTTCCCTGGCAATTTTAAAAAGCATTAACTTAGCTATGTTGAAAGCATTCAGTTAGAGTGCTGCTTGATGACTGGTTCTTTTTAATGAGCATAAAGGAGGTCAAAGTAAAATCAGAATTAGATGTATCTGCATTTAAGCCAGAATTAGTTAAAACTTTCAATGACACAAGCTAATGAAATCAGTTAGGAAACTCTGTACTGAAGGTCACTCTGCCTCTGAAGACTTGTGTTTATCCTAATAAGCAACTCCCTTCCCCAGAGAACTGCTCACCCCATAACAGCATTAACTGTTAAGGCATTTTGTGCCACAGCACCCGAAATAAAAGGGAATCTCAAGCATCTAATTCACTTTCCAGAACTCCAAGCTCCATCTTGCGTATTTGGTAGATTAGTCCATTTTATAGGTGAAGCTTTTGCTGTTATTTCATCTAGACTACTTAATAGCATGGGTATAATGATTTAAGTTTATTCAGTTCATCCAGCCTTCACAAAGTCAAGTTAGCTACCTCAGAAATCTTATAAAACGAGCTAAACATGACAAGAGAAATGAAAGGCATAAAAGTTCTGCTGCAGAGGGATTATTGTTCAGCAAATAAAAGCAGGAAGAATTCTTGGGAGAAACAAGAGCTAAGGAGGGATCTGAAAAAGGAGAAACGAGGTGCTTGGCATATTAAGCAGCATAAGACTGTCCCAAATACACAGGATAACATGAGTGAAAGCACAAAGCCAAGGCCTTGTCTAGACCAGGATTTAAACATGTGTTTGCATGTTTTGCTAGTATAGGTTAGCAGATAACTTTCAAAATACTACTCTAGACATAGAAATGTAGACTTTCAGAGTTAAAACCTAAGATTCCCCACTGACCATTAAATTAAAAAAAACCTTCTCAACTAAACAACCAAAAAGGATCACACTTAGCCAACACAGATGGGGAGAAATCCATGGACAAGATCCTCAGAAGCATCGAGAGACTATGGTAAAAAGGAAGATGAAAAACCACCAAAGGAGATGCCAGATAAAAACTGCCAACAACTGCACTAGAGTAAATGTCCCAGCCCACAAGGGAAACATCTGCTATACAATGAACCTAGTCTTGCAGCAAACATGTAACACACTCCACATCCACACAAGCCTTCCAAACAACCTGTCAGGGCACCGTGAGCTACGCTACAGAGACTACACTTTCCAAGGGCCAGGCAGCAATTCTGATGGAGCCGCGGCAGCCGGGGGCCTCGCCAGTGCGGATCCCCATCAGCTTGGCGACCGTTACGGCTCCCCGTGGCACAGCTACAGCTCCCGCGGCCATGCCACAGCGCACCGGCCCGGGGAGCTGCGGGGGGACCGGGCACCCCCGGTACACTG